ACCACCACCGGAGCCCCCCCCCCCCCCTCATAAGGTCCAACTTTACATCTTGGACGCACTGCACTGTTCCATTCGAGCCTCGGAGCTCCTGCAGATCCTCATAGTTTTCAGCCAAGGAACCTGTCGTTCGATCGGAACCTTTGGTCGAGCTATCGACGGCTCTCGCATCATTCATGTGCTACCGATCAACGCGTTTCCAGACGCTCGTTGGACTTGGGCGTTAGCTTGCCCTGACGTGAGAACCATTAAGAGCAAGGGACCTTATCGAGCGATCCTTCAGCGTTGATGCGACCATCTCCTGCGAGGAGCCGATGAATGCGGGGGGAGGGGGGGAGGGGGGCGTTTGGGATCAGCTGAATTCGAAACAGAAGCACAAAGGAAGCCTCTTGTCATTGGCCTTGGGCGTTCGTCTCCCCTCTGCCTGGAGCTGCTCTTGTCGGCGCTGGAAGGTGGAGAGGTCGGCGACTAACGTGTGCAGGTCAATGCCTGGCGTCTTGGCTCTTCGGGCCCAGGGCCCAGCGAGAGAGACCTTCGCTTGCAGAAAAGGGGCCGGTAGCAGCACCTGGCAACAGGCCCAGAGGCAGCAGAAAGCTTAAGCAACGACCGGGTTCATCCATCCATCCATTCAAGACGGTGGTAAGCGCAGTGAATTGAAACACACACTACGACGTTATCGTTGAATCAAAGCACCATGTGATCTATTTTCCGAGAACCACGGCCGAAAACTAAAGTTGCAACATCAGGTCAGACGACACACAATGCTTGAGAAAAACCTCTGGTCTTGAGCGGCGCTTGTACTGTGACGAGAAACCGATTGGTCCTGAAATCTGTGGATTCGTTTTGCTTTGCTCGACCATCTTGCACGAAACGAGTGCGCCTTGAGCATGCATTGCACTTTCTACAATCACAACCACCATCTTCGTGATGCTTTGTGCACGAATAATTTACAGCAGTTCTGCAGGTGCTCCAATCCGTTTGAGCACGCTCCGGATGGCGGCAGCTACAGCTGGTGCACGAAGTGTTCCTCTTCGAACCGATATATCGTATCGGGACCTTCCGTCAAACCTTCACTTGCTCGCTGGTCCACTGTTGCTTTCGTGTGCGCTTTACTGTATACTTTGGTACAACCTCCAGTTGGCTGATTTTGCCCCAGTTCCTGGCCCTCCTCATTGGAAGTGAACTTTCTCCTGTCTCAAACAAGTGCGCGTGCTGTGCCATTACGGCTTGCGGTTCCAAAAAAATCCTCCGGCGACGGCGCCAACAGCGATTGCAGTATCGTCATGTAAGTTAGGGGGGCCTGCGACACCAAAACGCCACAAAAAAGTCCCTTCAGACTTTGCCCATGTTGATCCCTGTGGAAGCGTGATACATGTAAGAAGCACACAGGCCTTTCATGCGCATGCATCCAGAAACGAACTGCGTGATCTCGATCTCCCGCTGGTTCGTCATGACCATCAAGTTCCTGAGTCGGAAAGCAGAACTCGGTGTTGCTGACACTACACTGCTACTACTTGTAGTATTTGGTGTTGATAGGGGTCAGGGTCTATAAGCACTTGAGAGTGCAACTCATGCGCGGGAGACGCAGATGAAAGCAGAGCTACGAACGCCTTGTGGCAAGCATCTTTGCAGCATGAGGCCTTCACCGTAACCTGCTGGCTAGTGAAGCCCATCAAATCTCTCTCTTGCGGACTAGGATACTTGAAGAATTTCTTGGAATCGAAGATGTCAAGACCCAGGGAAGCCATGTTCCGGTAGCCATTCTCCTCGGATTTGGCACGGCTGCCTATTTAATTGTAGTTAATACATGCCTGCAAAGACGTGTCATTCAATGCATGGTGGCACCCAAGCTGGGGTCGACACGAACTGCAGGAAGTCATGGAATTCAACCCAGGAGATCTGCGAAGGGAGGTCACGGAAGAATCGGGCTGCAAAAGCAGGCAGTAACGGTGGAGGAGTTCCGGGAAATGGCCTTGCCATCCCCATCCGCATCGATAATGCGACACGTGTCTCGGAGGCGCTCTGCCTGCACTCGTCTGGACATGCACAGTGATCTTGATCCCGAGAAGATGCGGTCGTGCAACTCGTGCAAGCAGTTGCATCGCACCTCCGTTCTCTCTTTCTTCTTCTGCTCCGCCAGGGCCAACTCCCGATCGGCTGCGGACACCTCTGAGGCCACCCCGGGATCTGCAAAACTGATGGCTTGATGCCGATTCGAACATGACCACTCCAGGGCACTTTCATCGCGTGGTCCACGAAAACCTGAGCGGCGCAGGGCGGTCGGGGTGCAGGTAGACCAGCCTTGAACATAATGCAAGCCTGCAGCAGAAATACAGAATTGAATAGGTTTTCAGGAGAACTAGCTGTCGACTGCTGGGCCGGAACTCTGTACAAGTGGCCGAGCTACATGCTCTGGGGATAGACAAATCCCGTGCGCTGGCGCTGGCGCTGACACTGGGGCTGCATGGGGCTGGCGGGTGGCGCTGGCTGGCGCCAGGGCTGGCGCTGGCGCTGGTGCTGTGCATTGCTCTGGGATGGTTGGCGGGCGGGGGGAAGGCTGGCGGGCGCTAGCGCTGGTGCTCGCGCTTGGTTGAACTCAACCGCGATGGCAAAATGAGGGAGCGGGTGGAACATACGTGCTCAATCGGGATCGCCTATAATGACGGGGCGGGTTCAGAAATGTGATCAATCGTGATCGCCATAGGGTATGGGAAGAGCTTGACGTAACGCATGTCTGGATTGAGAGAGCGGGTTTAAGAAATGTCATCAACCGGGGTCACCTAATGAGGGGGCGTATTTAAGATGGTTTAAGATTCAAGATGTATGACGAACCGGGATCGCCACATGAAGGGGTGGGTTTAAGAAATGTGACCAGCCGGGATCGCCTAAAGAGGCATGCTTAAGATAAGTGGGGAAACGGGATCGCCAAATGAGGCCGGCTTAAGAAATGCGATCAACCGGGATCGCCTAATGAGGGGGTGGATTGTTAATGTGTGATCAACCTGCAGCGCCAAATGAGGGAGCGCATGTAAGAAATGTGATCAGCCGGACTGCCCAATCAGAGGCAGGTTTAAGATACGAGACGAATCGGGATCGCTCAATGCGGTGGCAGATTTGATTGAAATGTCATCGACCTGGATCGCCGGATGAGTTTAAGAAATGTCATCGAATTGGATCGCCATACGAGGGGGCGGGATTAAGGTATGTGATGAAACGGGATCGCCGAATGAGGGGTCGGCATCGCCAAACGAGGGCTGGGATTACGATATGTGGTAAACCTGCATCGCCAAATGAGGGGGCGGGTTTAAGAAATGCGATCAGCCGGCATCGCCAAAATGGAAGGATTTTGGAGATGGTAGCCAGAGATGCAGCTCAACATGGCATCCGACAAAAACAGGCGATGCAGATGTCATGTCCATCTCGTCATCACGCCTACCATGATCCTGTGAATCACGTGAGCAATCCTTGCTGCCAAGCTGCGCCCGTCAGGACGTTGAAGACCGCAAACTCGAAGAAAGCCACCTTCCCAAGCAGGAAAGAGCTTCTCTGGAGGACCACTTCAGTGCCAATTTCAGAGCTTCCCTCTCATGACTCTCGCGAGCCGCTGAAAGATGCGATGCTTCAACGGGCCAATGGCCAATGGCCGGTCTGGCTGCTCGTGTTCTTGGCCCTTCTGGGCCTTTGCTACTAAGCTGCTAGTACAAGCTCCTTGTCGACTGTTTCCAAGCTAAGACGCATAGAAGAGGAAGGCAACAGCGCCCATCTCGCCAGTGTATTCCTTGTCATGGAGGTGGATTCCAGCTGCTTTAGATATCTGAAAGCCGTTGACTCCAAGTGGCTAGCAGCTCATAAGGATTTCTCCAGTCCACTCCACCAGTGCAGGCCCTGAGCTGCAGCTTGCAAATGCTTGCAGCATGGTAGGACAGTTCCGTGAAGTCCGAGGGGAATTCCATAGCTCAGGGCCTTCTCACGCGCACGGTCGGGATTGTAAGCTAGGCAGCTGGACGAACAAAGCTCTCGACAGTCGTCTGCCGCACACTGGCTTCTCGCGGCCTAGGTGCTGGTATAGAGTCGCCATGGTCACCTGCACCTGCAGATAACCAAACCAGATACTTGTCAAACGCTTCAGCTCTGCCTGATGAAACGGCAGCGAAACGGAAGAATGCCCTTCAGTACCGCAAACAGCAGTGTCAGAGGCAAGTCCGATGTCGCGGTAGCTACCCGGACCCGAAGCGGATTTCCACCAAGCCTGAGAGTGCAATCCAAGGAGCTGAGCCAAAGTAGTAAAGGAAGTCCTCTTTGACGAGGCCATCCACATCCTCCCATCACAGGCGTAAACCAGTCAAGGGCTGCCACCAGACAGACACTGAATGCTTGCACATGCTAACTTACAGCTTAAACCCCGGTGTGCAACCATGGAAGCTGGAAGCCTTCTCAACGATGTGCTCAGTGACCAACCTTTGTGGAGATGTATTTCCGACCACTGCATACATGACCAATATTGCTTTTTGCCTGCATGGCGATGAGATCTAATCTGTCGATCTATCTGTCTGGCTACATGTCTTTCTCGTAGTTCTTTCCCTGTCATGGCTAGACGGGCGGACATGCACCTGCACGCGGAGATGCACGTATCCTTACGTACGAAGATCGACAGCTGCATGAATGGCGAACTGCCAATACGAGCATCGAGTAGCTGGACAATCAGCAGCGAGAACACCAGAATGACAAAGAAGATGAGCACCAAACACCTCTGCTGCAACTGGGTGACGGCTTTGTGTTGTCTTCACCAGGAGTGGTGATTACATTGATTACTTGCACGATGAGCTGCGTCCACGCATTGCATCATCGCTAGCAGCAAATACAGTATGTGGAAGCATGCGAGCTTATGGAAACACCCCTCAAGAACACTTCCTAATTGCAACGCAGCAGACTTCCTATCTTTCATCGAGCGGAACTGTGACTCATGTCCAGCCAGGTCTACACCGTCTGCAGCGGTCCAAGCCAAGCAGCCAGAAAAGAGAACTGAATGACCAAATAATTGAGAACAGCATGCACCGCAGATCTCGGAAGACCCGGATGACCCGGACAAGCCTTCGGAACAGGTGACCGACAAAGTGTCTGCCGGTGGCTGGCCATGAAGGTCTTCGTGTGAGTGCTACAAGTATCGAGCATTGAGACTGTCTGGATCCTCTCAGAAGCGGGGAAGCTGTGAATCAACATCTTTCTCAAACATAGCCTTGGAACCTGCAGAAAGCACCTCCAGTTGCTTCGTCCCCCAGCCTACATACACGTTCTCTTCCTCAGCTGTGTCGCATGATAGCTGATTTCATGCGATGCCCACCTCAGGATCCGCGAGACCTTGACCACTCTCAAGGACCTGGCGCGAATTCTGCAACGCAGCCGGAACTGGTGTTATCCCATCTTGTCTGCCTCATGAAGTTCATGTTGGCGGAATGTCCGTCATCGTACCTTTCTCCGCGGGTTGCAAACAAGGAAGGCACACACTCCTACACTACTCGTGTTCTGGCGTCATTCGCACACTGCCACTCTGTGTGCGCAGGCAAAGCCTTCCCGTGTTTAACGAAGCGTCAGACTTCAGTGGCAAACAGCCCAGAAGACTACGTTGACTACGGTGCGGGTGTCCAAGGCGCTGCAAGGAGACGATCAGGTCGTACACCGCGAGTATTACCAGTATTAAGTCGAATACATTCCAAGGAGCCTCCTGCCGAAGCGAGGGCAAGCTTGCGACCATAGAAGCATGTCGCCACATGTGGGCAGCAAGACAAGACACACTCAGTCCTACCACTTGGCCGCAAACGATCTCACCTGAAAGACCGCTCCTCGTTCCAGAAGAAGTAGGCTTTGTGGACACGGATCTTCAGGCCAGACTCAAGAAGGTACACTGTACCTCATCATGCACAATAACATCAGCACCATCAAATTCATCAAAAACTACACACGAGACGACACCTGGGCACAAAAGGAGTAGTCCCAAAGGTTGTCGTAGGGTGAAGGGCGAGACTCGACGTAACCATCGATTTTGGAGACGGCTTGCCTTCGGCCCGCGACCCAACGAATCAATTGCCCCTAAAACTGGTCTTCGCGAAGGAGTGCCAACACTTGGTGCTTAGTTTTGGGTGAAGCGGTGAAAAGAGTCGACGGTAAGCAGAGGCGAGGCTGGGGAAAGGAAACACATAGCCGTCTGCTCAGTTCGAGACCCCTCGGGCTTTCGCCTGAAACTGCAAGGGATGCCCTTCCAAAACTGATCTCTAAAAGCCAAACCCCAAACAGGCAAGGACGGACGTGCTTGTATGTCATAGTTGCCCAAGATCAGCCGAGGATCAGAAAAAGATGTCTAGACCTGACACTGCCTCAGTGCAAGACAGCGGCTGCCGCGGTGTCAAGTGGACACGATTAGCGGCTTTAGCAGACCACACCCCGACGCTCTGGGCAACAACAACTCTCCGGAGTGCACGGAGCGTGTAAGTCAAATGAGACTCTTCTCTGCAGTTCCAAGTGCGTATGGAACGTCGAAGGATTCGTTCTCCAGTGTCCAGTTTGCCGTGTACAGGATGACGAGCACATTCCTCGGCGCGCGTCAGCAAGCACATCCAAGTACTCCTTACCGGGCGGATCTCAGGCCTCTGTTGCTTTACATGGAGTTTCAACGGTGATTGTCGCTGGAAACACTGGAAACACTGCACTGCCGAGTCTCGCGAGGATCACCAGTGTGCAGAAGGAGCCTGCTGCGGGCATATTCTGACACTGCATTATGATCTTGTGCAGTGTTGAGTCAGCACCAACAAACAACAACCCCGCAGTCAAAGTGGGGTGGCTGAATATACTTTTCTGCATCCTGCACACTGCTGGAATATCCAATCAAAAGGAATGGTTTCCTCTGCTCCTGTGCTTTTGGAAGCTCTCCTCCAAGAATGCATCCTACTTGTAACTGCACTATTCATTCTGATTTGCAAGCGAGGCTCAGAACAGGGTGCTGTTAAGGATGGCGTGACAGCAGCCGCGTCTTTCCTTGGCTGCTGGGGGTCCGAGCTTCTCGGCCTGAGGATTTCAGACTGAGGCTGTCACCGGTTCACGCAGGCCTCGGATGCAAGGCCCGCAGTAAACAGTTTGTAGAAGTGCATGTTGAGACCGGCCAGTTTGCCTACCTGCTTCCCTTCCGATGGTAGCCACTTTGTTCGGAAACTCCAATGCCAGCAAGGCTGGCTGATCGCTTTGAGTAACTTGTTTTGGGCTCGGGCGGATGTCCACGGCAAAGGCAAACGCTAGAACACTAGAAGTGGAACCCCTTGTCTCCCAGGCGCTGCAAAGCCAACGCGTCCACGAGATGATATAATGCAATATCCTGCAGCATACAACGGACACTCCTTCTAAGTTTAGTCGCCGACAACGTGAAGCATCTCGGCCTACGGATGAGTCTGCACGGTCCTTTGTCCCCAGGGAATGCGGCTGAACCATCGCCTGAGCCTGCGGGCTCAAGTTACGCATCGTTTTAGTCCGAGGAGTACCGAAAGGCGCCTGTGGCTGCCTTCCATGGCAAACAAGACGTTCTCCATGGCTGAGGTCCTCTGACGTTGCGATGTCTCAAAGACTGGTATGAAGCCAATATGACTCAACCAGGCTTAGCCATACAAGTTCGAGCTACGCATAGGGGCCCAGTCCTTTTCTCGAACTCGCGAACAGAATGAAGCCGCTCGTTATCGTCCTCGGAAGAGACAGTGCCTCAGATTCAGATACAGTAGGGTCGTCAAATTTGGAAATCCGAAAGCGGGCTTGCCTCGGATTCTGCCAAGCTACTCTTGCCTCGAGAGTGGGTGCTGCCAATTTTTCTGTGGCTGGTGCTCTGGGAGTGGCTCACCTGCGCGGATTGCGATCACCAGGTCAGTCGCGGAATGTGATGCAACGTTCGACAATTCGACCTTTCTTGTCGCTTCCCAGAACACACAAGGACTGCCTCGCTCTCCTCGTCTCCAACGAACTGCCTCATTCCTCAGGCTCGAAATCCCGTCGTTGACAGCTCATTCGAGCGAATGAATTGGCAACAGAAAACTCGCGCATGCCGTCATGCCCTTGTGTGCCAACAGAAAGCTGCAGCACTAGGTCCATTCAACAACGAAAAAAGTAGTCCATTTTGTTGCGACAAGAAGGACAGAATGCTGCGCGGCGAAGCTACGGAGCAACACAATCTGACAATCGGAGCGTAATCGACTGCACGACCGTCGCGCAGTCAGAAGCTCACGAAGGCTCTTTCAGCCGAGGAGCGAGTCGCTGCCTCGGTGGCGAAGTCTTCGAAAACCATCATCTTCTCAGACCTGCGTACAAAAGCCCCCTCTTGCCCCGAGCTGAGAATTGCTGCGAAGGCTGCGAAGCGGGTGCTTCAGGCTCTGAGTTTCTGCGCTGAGGCTGACTCTAGAGAACCCTGGCACTGGAGCCATGAGAACTCTGTCCCACGCTGCCGAGCATTTCAGGCCTGATCGGCTGCAGCTGCACAGCCGAGTTGGTCTGAGGGTGACTTTCTTCAGATCTGCTCGGCGAGGAGTCCGAGAACTTAGCATCACAGCAAGGGAGTTTTTGCAGCCCGCAAACAACAGAATCCCGTGGCCTTGAGGCATTCAAGCGCTCCCATCGCGGGCACGTGTATCGTGTCTTGAGGCAGGGTAGGCAGCCGACCCCCGAGAGCTTCTCGTCCACATGCTGGCCTTGCCATGCACACAAAGGAAGACCAAGCCTCCACTGGTCCACAAAGTCCACACACGTGTAACTCGCTGCCACTTTCGTCGCCAAGAAGCGGGGCATCCGCTGCAGCAGCTGTTCAACAAAGGCATCCTCGCCAAGCCATGCCAAGGCAACAGTGTCAACCCTTCACTTGCTCTCAGTTCTGAAAGTTTCGGTCCGGATTCCATGGTTCCGCAAACAGTTGTCATGCCAACACGCCATGTACCCAGTCTGCGCATGCTTGCAGATTGTTTGGACGAGATGTCGGCTATTCTTCTGTGCACTTGCAGGCCTGACACCTCCACTAGCTGCTATTTCTCGGTGCGCTGCCGTCCAGCTGGTGATCGCTCAATGTGAAAGCGGCTGTCTTTAAATCTAACAGCCACATTGAGGGTCGGACACAAACCAATGCGCTAGATTTCGTGTAGAGTTTACCACAGCCCTGACTTTCTCACAAGAAAAGTCCGGCTTCGTCTAAGCCAGAGGTCCCCAGAGGTCCTGCTCCGCCTGTCGCTGTGCCAAGAAGCCGGACCACTCCTCGCACCGGAAGAAAGGCGGCAGAGACTCGCACCCCCAAGCCGGTAGCTGCAGAGCAATCCGCAGAGCAAAGCAGAGCAGAGCATCCTCGCGGAGTGTGATCCACTGCTGACCTCATTCTGATTGAGGGAAGTGCACAGGAAGAACATGCGCAAAACTGCCGCTTCCAACAAGTCTCGGAGCAGTGGCCGAACTAATGGCCGAACCTGAGGATTTGACGAAGCTCTATCGTCGCCTTCCGAGGACTGGCGACCTGGCGCAAGACTATGACACTTAAGTAAGCGTTTAAGCACGACAAGACTCAATTTCATGGTCCATGCCTACTGATGTAATGCTGGACATGCCAAAGACAGCCGAACAAGAATAGCTATTCACGATGGCCGAAGGATCAAGATCTGATCCAAACAGATATCTCCATGCCTGTCCTGTCTGGCTAAATGCTACAGCAGTGCCGCTGGCACCTGGCTGCCGTCATCATTGCCGCTGCCGTTCTCGGTCAGATCGGATGCGGGATACTACAAGACAGGAACTGCTGAAACGGCGAATTTATTTGTGAAGTTCAATGCCTACGGCAGTGAGAGTCTATAGACCAGGTCCATACATTCCCCTTTGCCTGAACGCCGATGGTGTCCCGTTCGGCGTTACAATGTTTCTATTCCCAGCCGCGACTGTACCTATCGATAGAACCTTGACATGTTTCATACGTTGCAGGCATCCTTGGGGCATTCGCATCTGGCCGACAGTGATTCCTCTTGGCATCTCAGACAATACAAATATCTGCGATGGAAACGTTCCTCGCACAGAGTGCCAGTGCAAGTTGACGGTGTAGGTTGGCTCCAAACTCGGTGGGGGTCTGTCAAGTCAAAGATACTGAAGACATCTGTGCACCCGGCGAGACTGGGTCTCCTTTTCCCGGGGTCGCTGCCTGGGCTCGCAGTGATATCCAATGACAGGTGACGGGTTGGGGTCCCTACTTACCCGAAGTCTCAGAGCGGGTTGGTGTCTGGGATCCCCACGGGTGTGCAAAGCACTTCCATCGCTGTCCAGCGCAAAGCGTATTGCCATGCTGCTGGGCGGGATGCACAGGGACAAGAAGTTAGCGTGCGATGCAAGGTGATACAGCGGCTCTCGATGCTCTCGGCAAACGGGGGGGCAGACTTGAGCGGTGACTGGTTGATCGTCTGGCTGAGCTTAGGTGTTTCCTCCTGTCACTCTCGCAGCTCATGTTATAACGGTAGTGGTTGGATAGCTCGATTTCAGTCTTCAATGGTATTTGCTAACAAATACTTGACATGGATGCAGCGAAACGCCGGCAAACAATGCCATGCTCGAGATCCCTGGCAAACTCTTGGATCAAAGCTTCTTGGGCTCACAACTGACTGCCGCGACAATAGTGTCGTACCCGACGCGGCAAGTTTGGCAAACCTGCCTGGTTTTTCTCGCATTTCCGCATGCCTTCGAGACCAAGCCAACTTGAGGTCCAACCCTGCATCCCGGTTCGAGAGCACAGGGCCGCAACAGAGTGACATCCAGGCATGGACCGACTTGTGCGTACCGGTATCTTCAGCTTCTTTTCTGTGAATCAAACACATGAAAAGGTTCCACACGCCCTTACCTGACACAGGAGATCGACGACGACTCCACAGAACCAACTCGAAACACAAGGGGAAAGGGTCGGATTCAGTCCTTCGGATTGACTAAGAACCTTGAATTGCCCGGCCTCAGACTGAAAACGGGTGGCGTATCTGAAGCCACCTGAAGCAAGTCTCGAATGCTTGATGAGAGGACCATGACCTGGATTGCACGCGGTATCTCGCTGTGTTACCCTTGTTGGGTGTCACAGGAAAAGTGTGAAATGATGACATACAGAGGCGCTTCCAAAACGCCCTGGCGGAAGCTACCAGAGGGGCACCTTGGGTGCCCGATTTCTGTCGTGTTCCACGATGTGTGCGATGGAGCTGGCCGGATGTCAGCGGCCGGCAGCTGAACTCAGCCACTTCCGCTGCACGATGCGATGATAGATGCACTTGGGAGGTATTTGTCTCTTGTCCATCACCTCCCGTGTACATGGGCACGCTATATAGGGATTGGGGACTTGTGCCCTCTGCTGACAGGCAATTCTGAACGAGTTTCACCATAGCTGTCTCTGTCCGTTTCATGCATCGTGCGAACTGCCTACATAACAAGGAAGACTGCGCGTCTATGCTTCTGCCACTTGCTGACCCTCACGGTCATCCATGAACTATTGTCTGTGGGTGAGACAGTCCTTCCGAGTAAGTTCACACGCACCTGAGCACAAGCTTTGCCACAGTGACTGGACTTGAACTCTGTGAGCCTCAATTCGCGTTAGCTGATTGGCGCGACTTTCTTTCAGACCCAGACGGCTGCAAACTGTTGAGGATCCAGTCCATGAACTCAACACCGGCCACCTGGCGCCAAGCTGAAATTCCCAGATTACCAGGTGGTGTAGGAAGGAGAAAGTCTCTGCTCCTCCTAGGCTGGCGCTGTCCGCAACTCCACCAAATCTTATCTCCGAAATCACCCTAACTTACCCGTCAGCTCTGCCCTAAACCAAAACCCTCAACCAAGCAAGCCAGTAGGGAGCGGACTAGACCGGAAGCGCTTTTGGGTGTTGCGTTCAGCAGCTGGTCGATCTCCTGGATACAGCGCCAGACCGCAGCTCGAAGTTGGCAACTGCATAATGCTTGGGTGCAAAATGACCCCGTATGAATTTCCCCATCCCGGAATTGAGTCATCGTTTTTTCTTGTCATCGGATTACCCATCAAACCACCGATCTTGATGCCAGTACAACTTTAGTACGGTCCTTCGCTTTCGCTCCTGGCTGGATTGTGCTTGCTTGTCGCACGACTTTAATTCTGGAAATGCATCGTGTGAGGTCCTGGCTGGATTGTGTGCTGGGTTGCAGTACAACTTTAGTACTGGAAATTCTTCGTTTGGGGTCCTGGCTGGATTGTGCTGGGTTCTGGTACAACTTTAGTACTGGAAATGCCTCATGCGGGGTCCTGGCTGGGCTGCGCTGGGTTGTAGTAATAGTACAACTTTAGTACTGGAAATGCCTCGTTTGGGGTCTTGGCTTGATTGTGCTGGGTTGTAGTACAACTTTAGTACTGGAAATGCCTGGCTTTGAGTTTTGGCTCCTCGCTGGGTGTTGCCATAATTATGGCGTTCACAGAAAACGATGGAAAAGCCAAGTACTGCTGCTGCTGCTGCTGCTGCCGCCTCTCTCGCTGCCACGTGACGACCACGACGACGATGACGACGACGAC